TAATAGATAATAGATAATAAGATATTAAGATACAGATACAGATAATAAGATACAGATAATAAGATACAGATACAGATAATAAGATACACAAGATACAGATATGATAATAAGATACAGATAAGATACAAGATAATAAGATACAAGATACGATACAGACACAGATAATAGATAATAAGATACAGATAAAGATAATAAGATACAGATATGAAGATACAGATATGATATCTATGATAAGATAAGAGACAGAGATGATGAACCAGAAATAGAACAGAGATAAGAGATAAGAGATAAGAGATACAGAGAGAGCAGATACAAGATAAGATATGATAGATACAGATGATAAGATAAGATGATAAAGATAAGATAAGATAAGAGAAGATAAGATAAGATAAGATAAGATAAGATATGATAAGATAAGATGAGACAAGATGATAAGATAGATAGATAGATAAGATAGATAAGATATGATAAGATATGATAAGATAGATAAGATAAGAGATATGATAAGATAAGATAAGATAAGACAGATAAGATGATAAGATAAGATAAGATAAGATAGACAGATAAGATAAGATAAGATAAGAGGATATGATAAGATATGATAAGATAAGATAGAGATAATAAGATAATAAGATATTAAGATACAGATATTATGATACAGATAATAAGATATTAAGATACAGATATTAAGATACTAAAATAAAGATAAGATATGGAGATGAAATATGATAAGATAGAGATAAGATAAGATATGATAAGAGATAAGATAAGATAAGATAAGATAAGATAAGATAAGATAAGATCGATAGAGAAAGATAAGATATGACTGATAAGATAAGATTTGATTTAACTGACAAGATAAGATCAAGGTGATAAGATAAGACTGGAGCAGATAAGATAAAAGATAAGATAAGATAGACAGATAAAGACAAGATGTGATACACAGACACACAGAAACAGACAGAAATACAGATACACAGGCATTCAGACATTCATATTAGACATTATTAGATACATAGATACAGATAATATTAAGATAATATTAAGATACACAGATATTATTAAGATAATATTATGATACAAATATACACAGACACAAATACACAAACATACAACATATTAAACACAAACATACAACACAAACACACAAATGATAAACACACAAACGCATAAAAACACAAACACACACAAACACACAAACACACAAACACACAAACATACAAACACACAAACATACAAACATACAAACATATTAAATACACAAATACACAAACATACAAATATTAAATATACAAATACACAAATACACAAATACACAAACATACAAATACAAACACACAAACACACAAACACACAAACACACACACACACAAACACACAAACACACAAGTACACAACAACAAGCAAAAACAACACAAAACAAGCAAAACGAGCGGAACAAGCAAACAATCAAACAAACAAACAAACAAACAATCAAAACAAAACAGACACAGACACACACACACACACAACACACAATGCACAACGCACGGCGCACAACACACAACACACAACACACAACACACGAACACACAACGCACAACACACACACACACAACGCACAACACACAACACACAACACACAACGCCCGCCCGCCGGCCGCCCGCACGCCCGCACGCCCGCACGCTCGCACGCCAGACGCGTACACGCGTACCTTCGCACGCTCCACTCGCCCGCACGCCGCACGCCCGCACGCCGCACGCCAAGCACGCCCGCACGCCCGCACGCCCGCACGCCCGCACGCGTGCACGCCCGCACGCCCACACCCGAACGGCCGCATGCCTGCACGCCCGCACGCCCGCACGCCCGCACGCTCGCACAACGGCATTTTATTTGCACTTGTGGCTTCTATCAGGTTTCCTTTCACAATTTGTAAGACATGTGCTGTTTCCTGCCACCCGCTTTGATTTTTGGCATGGCAACCCAAGGAGATAGTGTTGGCAAAAGTACTGCCAATAGCTTTGGAAGTGTAAAGTTACGTCGTTTGGTATTGTTTGGATTTTTTGGCAGAAAAGGGACGTCTTTAATCCTCACAGGAAAGGACCGGAGAAGACATGTCAGGTACAGATTAACCTGAAGGGGCCAGGGGACCCTCCCAAACCCGGATCTGCGGACGTTGTCCACCTTGCGTGGGGGGTTGGGGGGGAAGAGGGGGTTTATGGATCATGTGGTTGCATGAAAGCGCAAAGAGTGTCAGTGTTGCACTTTGGCCAAGGCTTCCTGCGAAAGTTCAACCAGCCAGCAGCCAAGTTGAGAATTTGCCAGACTGGAGCCACTGTGAGCTGAAAGCTGCGCATTCTGCTTTGTTGGGGTGGATTGCTTCACCGTTGCAAACTGCAGATGAATGTGAAGGCAGTATTGGCGGAGGGAGCATGACCAAGGTTCTAGATCTGGTTGAGCTCAATCTCAACTGGACGGTGGTCGGGCACAACAGCCTGTCAATCCACGGTGTGCGAGTCGTGTTTGGCATACTGGCGATGGCGTCGGCCTTTTGAAAGTCAAGCGGATAATGCATCCTCACACGTAGCTCCCTTATGTGATAGACTTGCCCACACCCTGCATGCCAGACAGAGAGAATTGCAATTCGGAACGGATGGTTAAATGCCAGGGCGTTCAACACCGGAATGGGAATCCCCACCCACTTTCTCGGTAGCCGGGCCTGAACAAAGCTTTTAGGGCCCACCTTGCCACAGATTCTACTGATCATAGTTTTGCGCTGGCCCCGCTGCTCCTGCACGTGCAACTCGTGCAGTACAGGCTACGTGTCTGCCTTTTCACTCTTGTGGCCCTTTGCCCGAAGGGCTGTTGGCCGCTTGAGCCTTTACCCAACACGGCAGAGTCCAGCAAAAAGAAAGCAAGGCGTCCCTTGACTCATGCCCAGTGATATCCAGTGATGAAGAGAGCTGTGGGACTTGCCAGGGTGAAGCCACTTTGAGTTCTTCCAGGGGTTTTCAATAAAGCTTCAATGGACATGTTGTTGCCTGACAGGCCCGGCGAGTCCTCACCTCGCGACATGTGCGCCAGAGCCCTGGTTGACAGTATGTGTGGCACGTGAAAGATGAGGGACAAAGAAGCACGCCTTGTTGGCACAACAGGCTGAAATTACTGCTCAGAAAGCGATCAGTGCATGTTTCTCAGGCCATGCTTTGCATGGTTCCTTTGTGTATCGCGCCTCAACTCCAATGGTAACGAATTCCAATCTTTTTAGATGGGGGAGTCCTAGGCAGGCAAGTTTGCAGTCAGATTTTGCAAGGTTTGATGTGAATTGTGACTCATGCAACCATTGTTACGATGTAATTTTTCACTGGGATGCCTGCTCAGTAGCTCTTCTGGCTTGGAACCATCGTTTAATCCTCATTGATTCACGTCTCACACTTGGTGATTGGACTCTCAAAGCCTAGCAACACCCGAGACAGCCAGCCCAGCTAGCGGCTGCTTCTTGAGCTACCTTTGACACACGACCTTTGGTTCTTCTTGGGTGGCGAGCGAGTCGAGGTCAAAGCAGTTGCAGATCTCACAGCTGAGAAGCTCAGAGCTGCAGGCAGGGGTTGATTGGGTCAAGGCCCAATGTGACTGATGCTGGATCTCAGGCAGACGTGACGAGGATGTCAAGGAGAGCACGCGCTTGTGTGGCAGCACTTCCACAAGCAAAGTAATTGCAGATCACTGCTTGGCATTGGCCCAGAAGGGAGCTGCAAACAATTGCTGTCAGGGATGGAGACAATAAGATAGTTCAGCCTTTGCTAGGACAGCAACAGGTGGGACATGATGGGCAGAGTGCTGTTTGGCTCAGTCCTCAGGAATGGGGCAGGCTACAGCAAACAAACAACCCTGAGACAACTTTTGCTCATTGGCATATTGAGAGTAGACTGCGCACTGTGCAGTCGTGCTGCTTGTGACCACAGGCCGTCCAGATTGCAGCCTTTCTGACATCTTTTTCTTGGGCTTTGGCTTTTCGAGGCAGTGTGTTTAACTCTTTCCTGCTGCATACCGTGCTTTTTAGAGATCATCGCTGAAGATGTTGCGTTGCTTTTTGAAGTTCATCGTTTTGCTGGCATGCACTAGACAGAGAGTTCTCCTGCTTCAGCTTTGCGAATTCTCGACATGGCGCGCAGGCTGAAGCACAGCAACGAGGACCTACCCACCTATGCCGCCTGTACGTAACATTATTTTGCATATATAACTTGAGGAGCTGTTCTGGATTGCGAGCTGTTTTAGGGCTTCTTTGTGCAGATCCCACTTTGCCATCACAATGCAGGATCCGTTGCGGCTGGACGAGCTCAGATCAGTGGCGCTGATGCCCAGAGGATGCTCCAGATATGAACCCTTGACTGCATCGTGCATTGATACTTGACTTTTCTTTCAGAGCGGGAATGCCCAAGATTGTCAAATGTTTGATGGCCGCTGCAAGCAAGGTAGTGTCAGTTTCTTTATGTATGACACTGCCTGGTCTCGAAGCAGTGTTGCCCAGGGAAATGCTCAAACGAATGAAAGGAAAGGATTGAATGTTGCCGCTTCAGACTTCAGGTGCGCAAGCTGCCGCTGGAGGCAGCACCTGATGCCTGGCTGGTGGCCCAAGAGATTCAGCAGGCAGAGAGGGAAATGCAGACGTGCGGACTTGGGCAGTGCAGAACCCAAATGGCTGAAAGAGGTATGACTCGACTGAAACCGACGCAGAAAGCTTGTGGACAGTGATCAGTCAATTTGAGATGTTCTATGTTTGAAGGTTCATCCAGTGTGCGAATGTTTGGGATTTGACTGGAAGGCTTGCCTGCCAGCATGCTCATGCAGCGAAATCATCTCCTGACAAGCACATGAAGAAGCAAGCATGCATAACATAATGTTGACCCTGCATTGAGTCGCGCAAGCGACTTCGCACATTGGCAGCTGTGACGATGGACGATACTGCCTTCACACAAAACGTTTTCTTCCCTTCACAAACAGTCTTTTCAGGACACGTTATTTGATGGTTTCAGTATTGCCAACATCAGCTGGCTCATTAGGGATGATGGCATACAATGCTTTGACTTTGCTCACGTGTCTTTGAATACCGGCAGCATTCTGAATCGCACGGCCGCGATCGTGGCATGGCAGGCAGTGCTGGGTGCAGCTGCAGGCTGCGGCCTGCAAGGCGTGGGACTGCGGGACGGGAGGGCGGGACCCGGGAAGCCTGTCATAGGGGCGCCTTCGTGTCACCTTCCAGCCACCACGTGTTGTTTGACCTCGGGCAAAGCCTTCATTTCTCCGAGTCACTTGAGCCTCAGGTGTTGCTGTGGGAGTGCAGGCCCAGGCATCGCGCAAGCTGCTCGTGACAAGCTGCAGCGTGTGTTCGGATGCGGCAAATGAGTTCGCAGGAGGACGTGGCCACATCTGAGATGATGATCAAGCACTGCGTCTCAACGCTGCAAGAGCTGCACAGGCGAGTGAAGCTGAAGCAATTTCCGAATTTCGGTCCATGTGCCGTACGCTCGGTACGCTCGCAGCACTGTGCCTGGGCTAGTGCCGCTGGCCTTCTTGGTACTCAGCTCAGCTCGAGGGCTTCGAGGGCTTCGAGGGCTTCGAGGGCTTCGAGGGCTCACTTGGGACTGAGGGCTGGCGCTCCCGGTGGTCCAGCCAGAGCCGGCCAGCGGAGGACGCGGGGGAGCCTTGGGAGAAGTTTTGCCGCTTTGTTTCAGGTGTCAGGTAATGCACCGCGGCAATGATTTGAGCACAGTCTTCATTCTGCAAGCCTTGTATGAATGTGGGACAAACACAACATTTCTGTTCTGGGACACAACTGATTCAATCAGAGCATTGCGCAGGACCTGCCAGAGTACATGGGTGACGAGGCTCCGCTTCCAAAAGGTTCTCAGCACCCAGTCAGGCTGCAAAATAGCGGATGCCAGCACAAACAGGAAACCGGCACGGAAGATCGACTGGGTTTATGCGTCCCGGATGAATCCTAACCTCCAGGCTGAAAGGCGTCGTGCCGCGACGCCTTGAGCGATGGTTCGAATGGATTCTGCCATGTCAGGAGCCCGAGGTTCATGGTCCTGCGGCTGTAACGCTGCAGCTCCTGAGCCTTGGCAGTTTTGCCGACTACGTCCATTCAAAGGCATGGCATTCTTGGGCTATCCGATGAATTGGGAGGTACTTCAGGATCGCAAGCTTTCCTAAAGGCAAAGAGAAGCCACACACACACACACGCACAAAACACAGCAACGCAAAAAACATTTTCTTTGGATTTTTCCAAATCTCCGGCATGGCACCGGTTTCGCCCTAGGGCTGCGCTGGCGGAGCTGCTGGATGCGCCCGGGGCGGAGCCGCCCTCCGAGCTGCTGGGCTTGGAGGCCGTTTGCTTGAGGAAGTTGAACAGGAGCTTTCTGCTTAACTTAAGGGAATCTGATTTTGACTTTTAGGATGTTTTGGCCAGTGTGTCGTTTTTCAACTCATTTCCTGAGACAGGCCTTCCCCGGTCTGTGCTGGGCCCAGCGCCTGGCTCTGCTACGGGGCCCCGGCCTTCACTCGGCCTGTGCACGGGGGCCCGGCGCCAGGGCTGGGCCGTTGGGTTCGGGGGTCAGCCTCTGCTATTGAAATAGATGTTTGATCTGATTCTCTGTTTAGTCTGAGCTTGCTCGACTTGGAAACGGGATGTGGATGAATGGTCCCTCGTCATTCGAGATGTTGTTGCGATGCAGCCTTTGGCCACGTTGAGACACTCTGAGGACCTATTAGCAGAACTCCGCTGAGTCGAAGAGTCGAAGCTGGTTGAAAGAGCGACATATCGCACACTATGTTGCCAGCCGTCGCTGCATTTTATGTGGTCCGTGTTTTCCGTGGCTTGAAAGCTGCACAGCTGGCATTATGATTCACTTTGGTGACTGTTCAGCTTCCATTCACGCCGGCTGTGGCTCGCAAAGTATGCTTTACGCGGAGTTTTGGACACCTTGCATGAAGAAGGTATCCTGCAGCCCCTGCGAGACTTTGTGATCTTGGACCACTCTTGAAGGAATGACCCCACTGCACCGTTTTCTCACATCCATTTGGGACTCAACACACAGGCACACACACACACCAACGCAAGTCAGCAACTGAGTTTTGTACCATGCTCCCTTCTTGCGTCAACAACATGCAACACCAGATGCCATGCAAGCGAGCCTTTTGCCGCAAGTCAAAACTGCCTTTGCAGCCAGCTATCCTTTGCGGCTAGCTATGGAGAGCGATGAGGAGGTAGGGAATGGGGGACGCTTTCATGCGAGGCATTTGAAAGAAAGCAGAGGTACGACAGAGCATGCAAAAGAGGAATGAGGTGAGCTGACTGTAACTATAAGGCAGAGGTTAGACAGGCACGTGATGACGTACGCATGTTGAAGTCAGGGAACTCAGGTTTTTGTCGAATGGAAGATTTACTGGGACATCGTGTGCCTCATTTCTTTTGGAACAGGCATGAGGCAGAGATCTTCTGAATTCCTTTCTTGTATTTCTCAAGCCTCGTGTCTCACGCACTTTGTGGAATACTAATTACATACGAGCAATGCTTGCATTCCTGCTCCTGCCGCTGGCGGCAGCGCTGCGAGCCGACTTCTCCAACCAGGGCCACCTCAACGTGACCCTGACACCTCCTAACTTGGGCCTTGGCATTGCGGCCGTCAGCAAGTATGCCGGCGGCAACTGCCAGTTCATGCCAGCCTTCGATGTGGCCGCCTTTCTTCTGGAGGAGGCGCCTGCCGCGGCCAACGGCGTAGGAATGCTGGCCAAGCCGGCAGTCACTGCCGTCAAGTCCGCGGTCACAGTCTCCAAAATGGCAATGGGCGGTGCAAAAATTGCCCAGGCAGCTGAAGCAGCACAAGCTGTGACTGCCGGTGCCAAAGTCGTGACGGGCGGCGCGAAGACTTTGAGCCTCGTATCCAAGGCTTCAATGCTGGGAAAGGTGATGGGCGGTGCTTTGTCCATGAGCAACCCTGCGGGCGTGGCGTGGACAATTTTCAATGCGGGAATGACACTGCACCAACTCTACCAGGTGCAACAAATCATGAAGGATCCTGATCGAGTTTGTGAACTCCTGGCCGAGTGGGTGCCGCCTTACGACCATTCCAAGTGTTCGAACCCCGGACCGTTACCCATTCCCATGCCTGTCAATGAACTGGCAGGAAAAGCCACTAGTTGCTGGGCATGATATTGGCCTACCTTGTTTTGCCCATGACCTTTTCGAGTGGCAGACATGTTTTTTTTTTTTCTTTGTTCTTTGGTGCTCATTTGCCATTGGCCTCGATTGGTCTGTGAGCTTCGGAGGTCTGGACGGGCGGGTAGTCCTGGCAGCAGGCGCGGTGCTCTTTGCGGCGAGTGGGGCCTTGGTGCTGTGGCACAAGCGTCTGCATAGCGTGGCCTATGACGAGGCGCTGTGCCCCCGCGATCGGTGGCTGGAGGATCCTGCGCTTTGGGAAGCCAACGTGGGCCAGATGGACGAGGATAGGTATTTGTTGGTCAACGAAGCTTGAGTCAGACAACTTTTGTCAAGCGGCTGAGCATGTGACACTATACAACGCAAAGCAAATAAGTAGACTTAAGAAAGTAAACCACAGTCGCGAGCGTGAAGACCTGAAAAGCAAAGCAGTGTCGGAGCAAGGCACAGCGGCAAGATGCTGCGGAGATAACTTCAACAAGGTGAAGCCTCTGCATATTTTCTGCGAACATGGGGCTTTCAGTTTTTTTCATTGCGACTGCAAGATACAACGAGTTGCCAACCTCAACACGGCGAGCCCTCAGTAGACTTTCTACGACTGGTTTGGTAGGACGCGAAGAGGACGTTTTTGCAGCTCCAGCTCGAGAATCACAAGTAGTGTGCTGAGGTGAGGGCTTAGCATTTCGCAGTTAGCGAAGTGCAGCGCACCCGCAGAAAGCAATTTGTGCAAATGGTTGACCAATTTGGAAACTCGCCAAAAAGCACGAGTTTTTGAATGTCTGCAAATGGACATACGGTTTGCCTGACACTCTGTGTGTGTAGGTGTATATATATATATATATGTAGATGTGTCATGGTGTTGAGCTGTGCTGGCTGTAGTTTGTTTTGAATGTAATGGCGGACATGAACTATGAGCTCAACGGGACTAGATCTTCCTCAGCCAAGAGGAACACAAGTGGTTCGGGGACCAGCTTCCCTACGTGTTGCCAAATGCTGAGCTGTGCGCAAGGGTTGACCCTTCTCTAGACATTGGACACATCTTAGTGCCAATCTTTGCAGGAGGATGAGGAGGATCCTTTTACACTTTGGGACGTTCCCATGCCACGCTGCAATGGCTTGAAGTGGGTCCATGTGCCCACCTCTTGCACAGACCTTGGGTGCCGGCACAGGAGCTGTCAGCAAGCCTGTTGTGATTCCAAGAATTGCACCATGTATCAGTTTGATGCGAGCCCTGGCAAATGCTGGCTGGGAGACACTGCCTCTTTCAACTCCGAGAACTGCGTGCAGTGGGTTGGCCGCATTCTGTCCAAAAACTCCTTTGTTGAGGACAGCAGGATGTACCAGCAGATCAAGGGCTTGCGGGAACAACCGCGGCGGCAGGTTGCTGAAGCCATGAGGAGTTGCCCCGAGAAGCTTAGCCAGGATGCCTGCACCCTCAAGGTGTGTCAGGAGATGTGCATGAAAGACCGGGACTGCGAGCTCTACCAGTTCCGCGTCAGCAAGGCTGAGTGCTGGCTGGGCACCGAGCACGTGTTGCCCGAGACCGCTGAAACCTGGCACGGGGGGTTGCTTGACAGCTCCACACCCGCAGACTGCGGGGCAGGGTTGCTCTGCGGCGGCCACTGCGTGGACAGCTGCGAGCAATGCGCGGGCTTCTCTCTGCCCGGACAGGGCCGCTGCATGCGCAGCGCCGAGGAGGCCGTGTGCAACCCCGGCAGCTGGCAGCCGCAGATCCGCGGCTCCCAGCTGAATGCCACCCAATGCCAGGGCCTCACGCGGGTCGTTGTGAAGGTCGACGAGGACACGGAGTATAATGGTCATGCCGTTTGCCAGGCAGCTTGCTGCGAGGACCCAAGGTGTGTTCTCTATCAGGCCAGCCACGCCACTCAAAGTTGTTGTTTCGCTTCAGTTGCTTCCATGCTCAAGTAAGCAACAGCATGCAACAGCATTTTGGCAGGTGAGGCAGTCTGCGGCAGAGAAGGTTCATCGCAAGGCAGGGGAGAAGGTTCACTGCTGGTTGGGACTGGTGGATTCTTCCATGAACGAGCTCTTCAGCTGTCCAGAACATGCGGGTGGTTGGTTGGGAGACCGCCGCAAGTGGGCTGGTGGCTTTCTCCCCGCCCGCGGGTGCTCCACGGGTCATGCCTGCCTCCTGACGGACGAGTGTGTGGACAGCTGCGCTTCACAGTGTCCAGGAGCCCCGAGAGTAAGCAGCAGCGGAGCCTGCACTGAGTCACCCGACTCCGAGGAGCTGAAGAGCAGTGCTTTGCCTGTGGTGAGTGACGAAGAAGGAGGGTACTTCCTGTCCGCGGCAGACACTGCCGCAGCAGACACGCTGCTCATGATCACGCAGAACAAGCAGCGGCTCATTGAGGCTCCCACAGAGCAAGTCTGCCAATCGCTCTCCTTCGGAGCAAAGAGCTGCAGCGTTTTGTCCGAAGACGGGCGTAGCTTCTGCAGTTGCAAATATGCCCAGAGGCAGGAATGCTCCAAGTGGTTCAAGGATGCGGAGCATGCACGGCCGGTAATATCGGAGGGTGGGCTTCTGCTACTCACGGGCAGGGGCTGTGACTGCTTTGACACCCCGATAGAGGAGGATTTTGTTTGCCACTTTGAGCACCTTGAGGAGCTTCCCCTCTTGAGGCTGGAGGGCGAGACTTCAGCCTTCAGGATCCCGTAAGTGAATTCTCAAGTGGGCCATTTGAAAGCTCCAAATTTTCGCAGTAGCGTGAAAAGGACCTAGGAACTTGCCATTCGATGGAGAGGGAGCAAAGTAAGCTGTGTGCTTCAAGGCCGTGCCGCTTGCTGACAGCCTGGGGCTTGGGTTGCAAGCTCATGCTCAACTTAATCACATCCAGAGTCCACTGTATATATATATATATATATATATACATATTATATATATATATATATATATATTAATATATATATATATATATATATTCTTAGTGCAGGTGTTGACCATGTTTGACCGACAAACTATGCCCAAATCATCAGCGACATGCTTTCTTGGCTGAGCAGCCCAGGATCCAGAACTCTGCTTGCTGCTGATCACAAGACAGCCCCTGGCAGACAGCTGAGTTGCGCATTGCATGATGCATTTTCTTGACGACAAGTTCTTAGACCGACTCAACCTGAGCCACAATCAAAACACGGGTAGATGAAGGTTAGTAAGGGGCAGTCCCAGCCAGAAATAGTTACGGCCGCCTTCTTGATTCTTTACATGGTTCTGGGTAGACCATTTCAATACCGGGTTTTGATTGTGACCTGCACATAAACAAAAGCAGCACCACGAAACAGGAGCCGCCCAAAGCTCTCCTATAGATACCGACACCCTTCAACCGAGGGATCCTTCCTTAGGCGCCCATGTGGTGGAAGAATATCATGTCCTCTCAACCTCAGCGCTGCTCAGGCTCTGTGGTGCGAAAAAGGCTGCTTTCGGGCTTAGGCGTGCGCTTTTTGGCGCAGGTTTCAGAGGTATCTCCTGTACGACTGCAGCGTTTGTCTTGTGGGTTGCTGGTATTCTTGACATTTGCAGATTCCCTTCACAATTGAACATGTGACAGTGCGAACGTGTAACAGCTGGGACGGTGGAACATGTGACAGTGTGTGGACAGTGTGAGCGGGCGGAAGGCGTTTTTTTGCTGGCCGCCTTGCTGTTCCTTGCCCCCAGGCAGGACAATCACATATGCAGTCTGCACGCGCAATGCCGACTTCATATTAGTAAACGGCCCCCCCCTCAACTTTTGTTCTTCTTCTTTTTTTTTTTATTTTCCGGGCAAAGTACCACAATAAGAAACAATTGTACTTGTAGTATTGCTTCTAGTACTTGTAGTACTTGTAGTACTTGTAGTACTTGTAGTACTTGTAGTACTTGTAGTACTTGTAGTACTTGTAGTACTCATAGTACTTGTAGTACTTGTAGTACTTGTAGTACTTGTAGTACTTGTAGTACTTGTAGTACTTGTAGTAGTAACTGTAGTACTTGTAGTAGTCCTTGTAGTACTGCTTCTAGTATTTGTAGTACTTGTACTGCTTTCTGTATTTGTGGTACTTGTAGTAGTGGCTGTAGTAACTAAGTAGTACTGCTTCTAGTACTTGTAATACTTGTAGAAGTACTTGTAGTACCTGTAGTACTACTTCTAGAGTACTTGTAGTACTGCATTTAGTACTTGTAGTATTTCTAGTAGAACGAGTACTCGTAGTACTGCTTCAAGTGCTAGTAGTACTTGTAATACTTGTAGCAATACCAATACCAAGTTCTTCCTAGGGGTGGCTTCGGGGTGTTTATTAATGTGAACCCTTTTACTAATGCGGGTTTGGGGAGCTTGTGTGGAGTAACTCATGTTGGAGTCCAGGAACATCACTTTTGTAAAGAGAATTCATTTAAAAGCCACACTTTCCGGGCATGTATGTTTTTTGGAGATCTGAGGTCTGCTGGGTGTTGGGGAGCCTTTGAAGGTTCCACTTATATAGTTATCTTGCCTGGTGCGCTGCACACTTGTTGCATGTGTCTCTGTGGCATCAACTTCTGCACGCTACCTGCTTACTTTTGAATCATTTTGGACTGGTTTGCTCCCTGATACCAAAAAAACTTGTTTGGCTCGCCCCCGCGTTTCGGGGAATTTTATTAATGTGAGTTTATTGGGTGGTTTGTTAATGTTGTGCTTTGGAGGGTCGACTTGGGGGGCGGTGTTGTATGTTTGCAATTAACTTTCGAATTAGCCCCTTGTTAATTTAGTATTGGGTGAAACAGTGGGTCCGGTGGCCGATAATTTTATTAATACGCCCCCATTTATTAAACTTAGGTTGACATTAAACCCAATCGGGAAAGAGGCTCTTGGAGCAGGAGATCAGGGAAAGCCAAAGTGTTTGGACCGACAGCGCACAGGCCAAGAACCTGGGCGGGTAGTGAGGCAGCGGCATGGCATGCTCTCAGATAAACTAGGCAGTATGCTTGTGCCAGTGTGCGTTGGTCTCCTTGAGTCTTGTTTCTGCCATACGTTGCCGCGAGCCTTCCACCGAACAACTAAGACTCAACATAACATGATATTTTGAAGGGGCCAGCACTCTGGTGCGATGAACCGAACTTGAATCGGGAGATTTGGAACAGGCGCACCACATAGGCCTGTGGAACGAGGCCAGGGCTCCCGTGGCTTGTGGGACCGAACTTCGGTGCTGTCGGCACCGTTTCTGGAGAGTCGCTTCGGAAACCTTTCCAAGCACTTGTGGTGAGGTTGTGCGATGCACTGCTTGGTCTGCTCAGTCTGCTCAGTCTGCTTAGTGCTTTGCCTGCTAGGCCCTGGCCAAAGCGAAGCTCCAGCAGAAGGACACAATGCAGGGTTATTGGTGGGGGTTTGCCTGCAGGCACGCATGACATGCCCTGAGATAGTTGTAGTAATGGGAAGGACCCAGGCGATACTGGCCACAATTCAATGTCATTGCGGCACACCAGCTTGAAGCGTGATCATGTGCGAGTGCAGGAGAAAGCTTCGTGTGGCCTGTACGGCTGCGGCAAGATTATAGTTGCAAGCAGCTGCGCATGTCATCCAGAGTGCTGTGAACTCAGTGCAGCAAAGGGATGTACAGAGCGTTTGCAGTCGCAAAGTCTTTTGACCTGTCTTGGGCGACCCTGCAGCAGCCCAGGTAAGATGGATGGCACATGCTGCGCGGATTTTGATGACGTGTGTAAGGTGCAGAGATGTTCATGATATTTGGGTAGCTGCTGTGTGATTAGCTGTTTTTGAATCTGCCAGCCTTGCGAGACAGGTCAAGGGCCAGGACAAGCCCAAGGCACGCTGGAGTGATGCAAACTGCATGAGCTGAAGCACGGGTCTCAACCTTCCAGCTTCAGAAAATTGACATGCGTGCCATGCGCTTACTGCGGTCACAATGCCAGGCAGAGGGCCGCCTCTGCAAAGACATCGGTTGCTCCAACACGTACCTCTTTGATCACAAGCAAGCCTCTTAGTCAATGTGCGCGTCCCACCAGCCATTTCCTGCTCCATCATGGAACCCGAGCAATGCAAGCTTCCGCCGCTCTCGCATGCTGTCTCAATCTATCTCATGTCATGTTGTCTCCGCCCGCACTGTGCCGCATTTTGCAGGTGTCAGTGTACCCCGAGCTGCTTAGACTTCGACGACTGCTGCTCTGACTTCAAGTCGCACTGTGCGGTCTTGGCCTTGGAGATTGAGTGGAAAAGCTCGAATCTTCCCTTTCCCAAATAAGCCCTCGAGCCTCTCATGGGAGATTTGCCAGCTGAAGCGCATGCTGCCAACTTGTCTGTCACTAGAAATGCAGCTTCAGTAAAGGGCGGCATCTCACAGCCTGGTTCGGACATATCATAGGGATGGCTGACTCCTGGACCTGACAAACTACCTTGGAAGGAGAGTGCTTGCCCCAGGCCAACCTCACCAGGTCTCTGGAGGTTGCCCCGCGCAAGGACCAGGAGCTGCTTTGCATCCCATCATTGCCTTAAGTGCTTGCCAGGGACAAACCATCTTTGCTTCTTGTGTGTTGGAGGGCACGTTCTTACCCCCAAAAGAACGGGTGTTTGACGCCTTAGGGGCCAGGATTCATGGCGGAAATTCAACATGGTGCTGGCTGTTCCATATCCCGCCGACAGTAAGCATCCAACTTGCCTTGAGGAGCCACAGGTCGAAGCGAGCGTGGTGGTCAGCTTTAAGCAGAAGGTGCACCAGAATTGGAATCTTGCCCGCTTACAACAAACATGTAGTTCAGTCTGTCGTTTTGCGGCGATCCTTGGCTAGAAGGTGCATTGTTCCCACTGGCATTTTCCTAAATTGGCGAGACTTTGCACTTTGCCTTCTGATATTTGGGCTGGGAGGTGCCCAAAGATGCAAAGGAAAAGCACGAGGTGCGCACATCGCGCGGGTTGCCACGTCCATTCCCAAAACGCCTAGATGTGTGGCATCCAAGAAGAGTGAACCCGAGTACGGTGGCAGAGAAGACTGTATGACAGGCTTTCCTGAAGGAGCATGCTCACCGTGTGCAGCTCTTGCAGTGGCAGGCACTCGTGTTCTCTTTCGGTTTGGGTCTGAGAGCTGCCTGGGCCAGGCGGTGAAGAGCTGTCCCCCTCAATTCTTGGACCAAACCTACATGGATGGAAGGCAGCTTGCCAAGGCGAAGGGCTTTGTGCATGTTTCATTCAAGAGGAATCTGAGCTTTGACAAGTCGGCCATTGCTGCCAGTTGGCGAAGATCTCGACTGCTGCACATTGTCAAAAGGCCAGGATGTGCATGAGTCATGGGAAAGGCTTGTGTGCTACTCCTTGGTGTTGATCAATGAATCATGATCATAACTTAACCAAGAAGAAGAAAAAGAAGGAGAAGAAGAAGAAGAAGGAGGAGAAGAAGAAGAAGAATAAGAAGAAGAAAAGAAGAGACCAAGGAACATGACACACAAAGCAGACAATGACACATGGCAATAGTGTTGTTCTTATAATGTTGTTCCGGTTCTTGTTCTTGCTGCTGCTGCCGTTGTTCTTGCCGCCGCTGCGAATTTTGTTTTGTTTCTTCTTTTTTTCCGCTGGTGTGGTGTGGTGTGGTGTGGTGTGGTGTGGTGTGGTGTGGTGTGGTGTGGTGTGGTGTGGTGTGGTGTGGTGTGGTGTGGTGTGGGGTGGGGTGGGGTGGGGTGGGGTGGGGTGGGGTGGGGTGGGGGGGGGTGGGGTGGGGTGGGGTGGGGTGGGGTGGGGTGGGGTGGGGTGGGTGGTGTTGCTGCAGGTGCACTTCCATACATTCTTTCCATACCTTGTAGCTTAACCCTGAGCGTGCAGGCTTGTACTGAAAACTTGCAGTGCGACGCCTTCGTGTGGGCAGCCAGCGGCAGCTTGGCGCAGTTGAGCATGGGGCATGCCTCGCTCCTTTCGATTTCCTTTTCCTTTCCTTTTTATGTTCTTTGCCTTTCCTGTCTAATTGCTTTCCATTCTTTTTCCCTTTCCATTTCCTTTTCGTTTCCCTTTTCATTTCTCTTTCAATTTCCTTCCATTTTCTCCATTTCCTTTCCATTTCCTTTCCTTTCCATTTTCTTTCCATGTTCCTTCTATTTCCTCTCCTTACATTTTCAATTAGTCAGTCGGTGAGTCGTGGATGTCCATTTTTTGCCGTGGTATTTGGAACGCATTGTTTTGCTGTGGTTTCAGTGGCTCCTGGCAGTTTACAACCTGCTGTAGTCTCACTCAGTTCCTTCTTAGGCTTTGTCCTATTCACGGTCATGGACATTTTGTGTTCGGATCTAGGTTGTTGACTGGCTCGTGGTAGTCTCAATCCATGCAGCATTGTCTTTGTGGCGCACCTTGAGGCACCTGTCTCCTGGCGAGCCTCGATGGGGCGCGGTTCAAGCGGTTAGCAGACACCTTTGTTCTGCCAGGCATGTCAAGAAACCTAGGCAACACTGTTTACATTCATTGGTTGAACTCCAGCCGTAGCCCACTTTTCAGATTGACTTGCGCACATTTTGTGGAGCTGCCTGGCAGGCCGCTCCCATGATGATGGCACAAGCTCCAAACTCAGACCATGTGCCGAGTTCCTCAAATTCCTCAGCTGCGACAGGAAGGCCTTATAGCTGGGCAGCCGTGTTGCCGTGGCGCCAGGGAGGGCAAGGCGGACTGTGGGGATCTAATCATGGTGTTCATTTCAAGCACGAAAGCCTTTTGGTGTTTTGCGGTGTTCTCGAGGCTTGGATTCTGTGAAAGAGTAAGGCTAGCTGGCTGTTTGGCGTCAGTTTTCCTGTTTGGCTGCCAACTTGCATTTCGTTGTGTGAGATGACCCATGAGTCTCTGAAAGCAAAGTGCACTGAATGACATTGTTGTTTTACCTGGCAATGTTTGCCCTGATCATCCACGCCTGCAGGTCTTGACAGATTGCCCAGAGCAAATGGCTGACACAGAGCTGAGAACTAGTGCAGGCAGGCGGGTGCTTCAACCAGTCCTGCGGATTCGATAAAGGTTTTTGCTTTTGACACAAACTCACGGCCACTTGCCCTGGGAAAATACACAGAATGCCAGCGCGCACACCACACACACGCACACACACGCACACACCCTCGCACAAGCGCGTGCAGTGCTGCACGCAAGCAATTGGATTGTAACGCCATCGACCTGTGCAAGAGTCTTTGGTTTACAGGACTCAACCCAGGCTCAAACTGTGGATCACCAAGATGTCTCATTCCACCTGTGCGTTCTTGCAGCTTCGAGTGAATTCCACAAAAGGCTTTGGTGGCAACATAAGTCGCCTGACTGGATGTTCAATGTTTTAGAAAGTGCACCAATGCTCTCAGATTGCTTTGCTCCAGATCTTCAGCAGCTTCATGCAGACGATGCTTTCAAGTGCCAGGAGGCCAGGGCTCGCATTTCAGGATAGCTCCAAGAAGGAGGGGGTCAGGTTTCCCCTCTGGTTTGCGGGAATCCTGGAGAGTTCTTCCCGCAAAGACCTACTTCCAACCCAAACCGACACGTCGGTCCAAACTGGGCAGGCCTGCACGAAGGAGCACGAATGCGGCGCCTTCTCGTGGAGCCCGAAGGGGCCGGGGCCCTTCTCCAAGTTTGCAAAGAATCCTGGGTTTGCGTTCCCATTTGCTCCATTGCCATTCTCGTGTTCAAAGTCGAACAACGACTCCTGTACACACTATAAACTGCTTGAGACTGTCAAGTCTCTTTGAGTGAGCCTGTTCAGTTTAAAACACTGAGACTGCATTCATCTACCGATGGATCGGGAAGGCCGCGAGGCAACGACCCAAATGCATCAGACACCACATACACACTCAGTTTTTACACACCACATCTCTCCTTTTTCAGCTTTGCTCGGTGTGCTTGGCCATTGCACTATAAAAAGGGTTGTATTTGCACAGAGTGCAAGCTGTGCACGTTTGTCTTTCAGCGCTGTTTCTAGATCATCCGAACATCGGGGGATAAACCAGGGCCTAGCGTGTGCTTTGACTGCATGAAACGGGGGGCTGTGACTTGCAGCGTGCAGCGTGCAATGCGCAGCGTGTATTGACCTACGTGGATTCCATCTCTGGCACTAGGCGTCTAACAGTAAACAGAGCAGCACGTGTGGGCAGTGCAGGAAATGCTATATTGAAGTCGTCTGCGGGCATGTTTAAGAACGCATCTCTGAGGTGCGTGTTGAAGCGCCTGGCTCCTGATGAGTCGCCCCGGATGATTCCCAAGGACGCTTCGCGAATTGTCAGGTTCATTTGACATGTTCAAATCACTTCTCGACTGACAGCGGTCGAAAAGAGCACCGTTTCTCGCCGCACAGTCAGGATGGTGTGATCTCTGGTCTGCCATGTGGGTGCAGAGAAGCTTGGTGGTCAACAGATTGACAATCCAGGGATGAGTGGCCATGGATTGACCAATGAGGCCACGGCCGCAAACGCCATGTGGCCCCACACAGATGCAGAGAAATTCACGATGCCTTTGCCTCGCGGGATGCTTGGCCGAATTGGCTGCCTCGGTGAGTTCGGGCGAAAGGGTTTGCAGAAAAGCCCCAAACCGGTCAGGAATGTTGGGATATTTGGTGCATAAGGCCATTTGGCCATGAGGCCGCGAGACCATGGTTGCTTGTTGGGTCTCAATGATTCGTGTCAATGTGTTGATTGACCAAGCTGTTGCGAGGAACAAGCCGACCAAGCCTGGCAGCTTGTTGTGCTTGGCGCTGATGGTGCCCTACTCCTATGAGACAGGCCGAACAACATCTTTGGACAGGCGAAAGTCTGCAATCACGCCTAGCCAGGTCTCATTGTCATGCAGTACAAGCACCATGCCGGCATCTTCGCCTGCGATGAGTATCAGGCTTCGCAGCCCAAGCTCCCCTCTACAGCCATCACAGCCTTGTCAGCCTTGTGGTGGTTCTGGTACCTGCCGAGTTCACAGGTCTACAGCAACCAGGCCATGGTCCTTGCGCCCGGGCTGGAAACCAGGAAGGTCCAGCCCCCAGATCGCACATTGGACGTGTCCGACTGCCACACTCTCAGGTCCTTAGCAGCCAAGAGTGTGAGGTTGGGGGTGAATTCAAGAGCGCGCTGAATCTGCAGATCTTCACGGCATTCTGGAGGTTGGGGCATGCGATTGGAATCCTCACGATTGTGAGGCAAATGCTCTCGTGTTTGAATGCTTCAGCTGTCGCAGGCAGGTGATCTCGGATGGTCATTACCTTCTCTACAACTGGGTCATCAAGGCGAGGAGATGTTGGAAATGCAAGAAATAGCCCACAACCAAGGATTGGGCAGAGCGGTTTGCTTCCTGCTTGACCAAACGTAATCCTAGGCTGACCCTGACACCGTCTTCTTCGCGGATCGCTTGCGGCCCATCCTGCAAAAGCATCAAGATGGCAACAGCCTTGGCATCGTCTTCACGGTGCAAGCAAGCCTGAACGTAGCAGATGCAGCATCCACTGCTTGTAGCATGTGACATGGTGCTCGGAACTTGGCAGGCCCTAGAGTCCCCGAGAGATGTTTGCAAGGCTTCTGTATCTGGGTAAAGGCTTTGGCATTGCAGTTTCTGGCGCTTCACCGAATCCGAGTTTTCAGACAGCCATGGAGCAGTGCGCGTTCTCCCTGAGGCTCTCTCAGCCAGAGTAGCCCAGGCACCCCGCAGTGGCTGCGCGTAGGTTCTGGGAGCTTTTGATAGCCCGCACAGCATGTGGAAAGCTCTTCAGCCTTGTCGTTTCCTTCATTTTTCTCTTTGGGTTTCTGCCCCTTCCTACAGGCTGTAGGAACTTCAGAGTACTTTGGCGCCTTCTTCAAACTGTTGCCGTGTGTGAGAACATGTCAACAATGGCCGTGCAGGTGTTTACCTCAACAATTGCAAGTTCGGGCTGCATGGGCCGCTGGGAGCTTATTGCCAACATATATAATATATTCCGCGTGCTGCACTTTTCAACCGTCCATCGCAGGTCTCAACATGTTGCGGAATCATAAGCTTGACCTGCCACACAGCCTTCCAGCCATTCAAACAATCGCGAGTCGCGAGTTGTCCGGAGATGTGTGCAGCTGGGGGTGTATGCACTGGGCATTGAATCAACTTCACATTCCAACTCAAAGCGTTTTGGCGCTGCCAGGCGCGTTAAAACCGTTAAGCATGGGACGAGTGTTGCTCCGGAGGCTGGAGGTCTTCTCGCAGAGCACCGTACGCGCATTGAGCACCAGCTTCTTAGGCCGGAGTGGGGAGAGCCAAGGACTCCGGACTGGCCCGCAGACGCTATGGTTAGACAGCCTAAGTCATGTACCATTTGGACCTTAAACCATGGGGTAGTTGTTCTTAGGGCGTTTCAGAATCTGAAACATGAGGGACTTTTCTCTCTTAGTGAGCGATGGGACCAAGGCGGGGGTGTTTTGTGGCTTTTGCACACTATGGACATGTCTCAAAATGAAGAGCCCTTCCGCATTTTGAGGAAGGACACCTATTGGAGAATGTGAACAAGCGGAAGGATTCCAAATTTTGTGATGCATCCGTTAGCGGCAGGAGACGTCTCAAGGCAAACATCAAGATGCGTCAGGCGTTGACTCGCCTGATCCAACTCACACCACAGGCTGTTTCCACTTCTTTGAGAAGTTGTGCAATGGAGACTGCCAGTGGGGAGAGGACTGAGCCTTGAGAGCTCTCAAAATTGCAACGAGAGTGTCAGCGCCTATTCTGTGTACTTTCGAGCTGTTCCCAAGCCCAGCTTTGTCAGATGAGCTGCAGGACATGTGGGTCGATCAGTGCTTGAAGCGCTTCGTGCAAGCCGAGCGCCATTTGGAGCCGAAGCTGCTGATGGAAGCCCACTGTGATCCAGACCCAGGCTCATGGGTTCGCGTGTGTCAAAGAGCTGGAAGTGGGGTACGATTGGACAACTTGTGAAAGTGCAGCTAACAAGAAACAGCAGGATTGCACTACCCAGAGCGGGAATGCGTCGACGTTTTACAAGAGTTCGACTGTGTGACAGGCTGGAGAAGCTGCTCAGATGCCAAGACAGCGGCCTTCCATCCCTTCAAATCTGTGACTACCCCAGCTTGCTGCGAATTCTGCCATGTCGCCTGTGAATTCCTCTGTTCCCATGCGGCTCTGCCACCGTAATGGGCTGTCACAATAGATCTCTGAAGCGCATGTTCAAGTCTCTCAACAAATAGACTTTGTCCTGTCACCCAAAATGACTCCCTGCGGCCTTGGAGTGTCCTTACTTGTGCGACTACCGGAGCACACACTGTGTGGAACAGATGCAAATCCAAATCAAGCTTGAGGGAAGTGTTTGGACAAAGAATCACCAAGGTGGCAGACCACATCACCTGCCAGCAATCGGCTGAGCTCGCCGAGTTGGCTTGAGGCGGAACCTGCCTGCTGAGCACGGATGGGCTAAGTCCTCATTCGCACGGGCCCGACGGTCTCACGCCGCACAAGGAGGGCGCCGCATGCCGTTTGGCTCAAGTCGGCTCTTAGCAAACTCGGCGGCCATGGCAACTCGGATTCCCAACATGCTCTTGTGACAGTGCTGGCTGGGCTGGGCGGCCTTCTGGCCACCTCCTGCGCTGATGCCTCCAACCTCTGGTGCAGCGGGTGCCATTCAAGAAGAAGCTGCATGTTTGCCAGTGGAGCAATTCAGGTGGGCGAGTGTGACAGCACGTCATGTGTCTCCTTTGGAGTCGAGACAGTGTTCAGCGATGGACGAACGGTGATCACGATCACATTTGGGTCAGTCTTCTTCCGTAGTATCGGAAGCGAAGAAGTTTTGGGACGGTGTCAAAAGCGATTTCAGGAGAGTTGTGAATGAAGCGAAGATGGAGGACTGTGATCCTACAGTTATCCCTCTAATGTTTGCCTCGGAGATCAAGCTGTCAACTCCCTGCCCCCCGACTTTCAAGTTTACGGGTGTTTAGGATTGTCTCAAGGATGTCGTGAACTCAATCAGGATTCCGGGGGTTGACGATGCAGTCTGGAGTTTTGCTATGAAGACACTGGCGAAGCGCACATCCTTCGAGTCCTGCCTCCAGATGCTGCTGAACGGCCTCTTGAACACTACCCTGACGCCTGCGTGGATGCACGTTCAGGATGCCATCAACAAGATCCCTGGCGTTGAGTCAGCGGAGACAGAACTCAAGCAGGCTGAGTCGCTGACCAGGTCGAGTCAGGTCAAGGCAGTGGGGAGCAGGTTGAACATCTGTTCCCAGAGTAATGGACTCTCTGGGTCATGGCCGATGTCTCTGAGCCTTGACGGAAGGCCTCCTCAAGATCCTGATCTCAGTCAAGTGGAGGCTGGACCAAACAATGGACCTGTTGCAAATCCTTCATTCTTGGAGTAAGACCTTGGATATCCCATGCTTGGGCGATTCAGTGACGTGATCTTGGAGGGCGATGGAGTCCCACACATCGATCTGGATTTAGGCAGCGCTCTTGAGTTCCCCCTCGATCCAGAGGACTGGAGCAAATGGTTGCCTGGCGTCAAGCAGGAGTGGCTAAAGTCAAGGCGTTCAAGAAGGGAGTGATCAACGCTGCAGTGGGGGTTGACGTTTCATTCATCCTTCCGCTTGTGTTTTGATTCAAGTCTCCAACGAATACAGGCTACCTTTTTCCATTTACCTAGCTCTGCTTTTGGGCTCCTATTTTGTTTAGCCACACTGCCATGCCAAAAATCCTAATCGGAGTTGAGCTTGGCAAGAAAAAGGGAGTTCGCAGCATCAAGTTCTCTGGCCGCTACAGGGATTCTGGCTCGAGAGCACTTGAAGCTACCTACTTGTGACGACACAGTGTTGTGCTAGCGTTGAGAATCGGATGCGTTGTGCTTCATTCCGCATAGTTGGCGTTGAGAAGGTTTGAGACTCGGAGGTTTCGGGCATCTGACTCACTGGTCCACACAACTTCATCTTGCTTGGTGCAGGGTGCCGCCGCCTGAGGCTTCGCGTGTGCAGTTTTTGTTGAGCAGTTTTAACAGTCTTTTGTTTGCAACAATTAACATGCCTAAGGCAGCCTTGGACAGTTTTTCCGTGCCTAATGCCTGAAGCGCTCAGTGTTTAGTTGCCGCATATGTTAGTATGTGTAACCATTTCAATGTAGTGTCAAGCGGATGAGTACGGTTGGCTTCTTTTGACAGATCAGGCCTTAAGTGTGGGCGTCCAACTTGCTTTCCACGGAAAGCGTAGATTGACCTCGGAAGGGGTATGCCAGAGATGCATTTGCTCTCTCCGAATGGAAGCTGGAATTGCATTCAGGGCTTAAGGCCAAGCTCCCTCGAAAATGAATGGCTCTATCTTGAAGAGTGCAGGCGTCCGGCTGCGAAGCCAAAAAACCCAGGCTGCCCTTGATCAGATCGATGGAGGCCGCAAAGCAATGTTACATGCTGCATGATCTTGACGAGTGAGCGTTCTTGCTCATGACAGGCTGTCATGGCAAACGAACCTGCGCCAACGAACACAATCAATTGCCCTGCACGCCATCATCTTCCATTCTAGCTGGCAGGCTCGTGTGATTTCCGGCCCTCAGCACAGTCCTTTGCAGCCATGGCTGATCAGCTGACCGAAGAGCAGATCGCGGAGTTCAAGGAGGCCTTCTCTCTGTTCGACAAGGACGGAGATGGCACGATCACTACTAAGGAGCTCGGCACTGTGATGCGCTCGTTGGGGCAGAACCCCACCGAGGCGGAGCTGCAAGACATGATCAATGAAGTCGATGCAGATGGAAACGGCACCATCGACTTCCCGGAATTTTTGTCCCTGATGGCGCGCAAGATGAAGGACACCGACACAGAAGAAGAGCTGATTGAAGCCTTCAAGGTCTTTGACCGTGATGGCAACGGCTTCATCAGCGCCGCAGAGCTGCGTCACGTCATGACCAACCTCGGTGAGAAGCTGACAGACGAGGAGGTTGATGAGATGATCCGGGAGGCAGACGTGGACGGCGATGGCCAGATCAATTACGAGGAGTTTGTGAAGATGATGATGGCCAAGTGAGGGTACAGGCTGTCGCAGAATGACACAGACAGCCAGCTCGGCCAATCTGGCCAGGCTTGCCGTGTATGTGAAATGTAGGGCAATGTGAGGCACTAAAGTACGTGCCTCATGTCCAGTATGCCGGCTAACCTGTATCATGGATCGCCAAGCGCTTCGTGCGCGTGAAATAAGTGTGCTTGTAAGAACCAGTCAGTGTGCGGCGTTTGAGGTCCCGTGGTTTTCTTGCTGCGTGTAGTGCATCTGACTATTGGCTGCACTGATCATGTGCCGACACCAATCAACATCTCTTGCAGCCTTGTAGGAATGTGTTTGAGAGACGGATTTTCCTGCAGTGGAAAGCGCCGTCTGTCAGAAGGAATGCCTTTTCCTAATGAAGTTGTGCTTCGAAAATGGATGCCGAGAGCAATGTCAACGATCATTTGCTGTGTGCAGCTGAAGACTGCATCCGACGCAGCTGGCGGCTCGTGTGATTTCCGGCCCTCAACACAGTCTTTTGCAGCCATGGCTGATCAGCTGACCGAAGAGCAGATCGCGGAGTTCAAGGAGGCCTTCTCTCTGTTCGACAAGGACGGAGATGGCACGATCACTACTAAGGAGCTCGGCACTGTGATGCGCTCGTTGGGGCAGAACCCCACCGAGGCGGAGCTGCAAGACATGATCAATGAAGTCGATGCAGATGGAAACGGCACCATCGACTTCCCGGAATTCTTGTCCCTGATGGCGCGCAAGATGAAGGACACCGACACAGAAGAAGAGCTGATTGAAGCCTTCAAGGTCTTTGACCGTGATGGCAACGGCTTCATCAGTGCCGCAGAGCTGCGTCACGTCATGACCAACCTCGGTGAGAAGCTGACAGACGAGGAGGTTGATGAGATGATCCGGGAGGCAGACGTGGACGGCGATGGCCAGATCAATTACGAGGAGTTTGTGAAGATGATGATGGCCAAGTGAAGGTACAGGCTGTCGCAGAATGACACAGACACAGCCAGCTCGGCCAATCTGGCCAGGCTTGCCGTGTATGTGAAATGTAGGGCAATGTGAGGCACTGAAGTACGTGCCTCATGTCCAGTATGCCGGCTAACCTGTATCATGGATCGCCAAGCGCTTCGTGCGCGTAAAATAAGTGTGCTTGTAAGAACCAGTTATCCTAATGAAGTTGTGCTTCGAAAATGAATGCCGAGAGCAACGTCAACGATCATTTGCTGTGTGCAGCTGAAGACTGCATCCGACGCAGCTGGCAGGCTCGTGTGATTTCCGGCCCTCAACACAGTCCTTTGCAGCCATGGCTGATCAGCTGACCGAAGAGCAGATCGCGGAGTTCAAGGAGGCCTTCTCTCTGTTCGACAAGGACGGAGATGGCACGATCACTACTAAGGAGCTCGGCACTGTGATGCGCTCGTTGGGGCAGAACCCCACCGAGGCGGAGCTGCAAGACATGATCAATGAAGTCGATGCAGATGGAAACGGCACCATCGACTTCCCGGAATTCTTGTCCCTGATGGCGCGCAAGATGAAGGACACCGACACAGAAGAGGAGCTGATTGAAGCCTTCAAGGTCTTTGACCGTGATGGCAACGGCTTCATCAGTGCCGCAGAGCTGCGTCACGTCATGACCAACCTCGGTGAGAAGCTGACAGACGAGGAGGTTGATGAGATGATCCGGGAGGCAGACGTGGACGGCGATGGCCAGATCAATTACGAGGAGTTTGTGAAGATGATGATGGCCAAGTGAGGGTACAGGCTGTCGCAGAATGACACAGACACAGCCAGCTCGGCCAATCTGGCCAGGCTTGCCATGTATGTGAAATGTAGGGCAGTGTGAGGCACTAAAGTACGTGCCTCATGTCCAGTATGCCGGCTAACCTGTATCATGGATCGCCAAGCGCTTCGTGCGCGTGAAATAAGTGTGCTTGTAAGAACCAGTCAGTGTGCGGCGTTTGAGGTCCCGTGGTTTTCTTGCTGGGTGTAGTGCATCTGACTATTGGCTGCACTGATCATGTGCCGACACCAATCAACATCTCTTGCAGCCTTGTAGGAATGTGTTTGAGAGACGGATTTTCCTGCAGTGGAAAGCGCCGTCTGTCAGAAGGAATGCCTTTTCCTAATGAAGTTGTGCTTCGAAAATGGATGCCGAGAGCAACGTCAACGATCATTTGCTGTGTGCAGCTGAAGACTGCATCCGACGCAGCTGGCAGGCTCGTGTGATTTCCGGCCCTCAACACAGTCCTTTGCAGCCATGGCTGATCAGCTGACCGAAGAGCAGATCGCGGAGTTCAAGGAGGCCTTCTCTCTGTTCGACAAGGACGGAGATGGCACGATCACTACTAAGGAGCTCGGCACTGTGATGCGCTCGTTGGGGCAGAACCCCACCGAGGCGGAGCTGCAAGACATGATCAATGAAGTCGATGCAGATGGAAACGGCACCATCGACTTCCCGGAATTCTTGTCCCTGATGGCGCGCAAGATGAAGGACACCGACACAGAAGAGGAGCTGATTGAAGCCTTCAAGGTCTTTGACCGTGATGGCAACGGCTTCATCAGTGCCGCAGAGCTGCGTCACGTCATGACCAACCTCGGTGAGAAGCTGACAGACGAGGAGGTTGATGAGATGATCCGGGAGGCAGACGTGGACGGCGATGGCCAGATCAATTACGAGGAGTTTGTGAAGATGATGATGGCCAAGTGAGGGTACAGGCTGTCGCAGAATGACACAGACACAGCCAGCTCGGCCTCCGGGGTAGGCCGTGTATGTGAAATGTAGGGCAATGTGAGGCACTAAAGTACGTGCCTCATGTCCAGTATGCCGGCTAACCTGTATCATGGATCGCCAAGCGCTTCGTGCGCGTGAAATAAGGCGGCGTTTGAGGTCCCGTGGTTTTCTTGCTGGGTGTAGTGCATCTGACTATTGGCTGCACTGATCATGTGCCGACACCAATCAACATCTCTTGCAGCCTTGTAGGAATGTGTTTGAGAGACGGATTTTCCTGCTTCGAAAATGCGGAGAGAACGTCAACGATCATTTGCTGTGTGCAGCTGAAGACTGCATCCGACGCAGCTGGCAGGCTCGTGTGATTTCCGGCCCTCAACACAGTCCTTTGCAGCCATGGCTGATCAGCTGACCGAAGAGCAGATCGCGGAGTTCAAGGAGGCCTTCTCTCTGTTCGACAAGGACGGAGATGGCACGATCACTACTAAGGAGCTCGGCACTGTGATGCGCTCGTTGGGGCAGAACCCCACCGAGGCGGAGCTGCAAGACATGATCAATGAAGTTGATGCAGATGGAAACGGCACCATCGACTTCCCGGAATTCTTGTCCCTGATGGCGCGCAAGATGAAGGACACCGACACAGAAGAGG